GTGCAGCCAAATCTCATTCCTTATGCCTTGGCACACATTTCAAATTGAATTTACGCACAAATATAGCCATTTGAATGGTTATAGCTTCCGACAACTGGAACGCTGAGGCGATCCGGCCGAGCCCCGTAGGTCTAATTGAGGCTATTAATTGTTTTGGCTCGTACTCTCGAGCCACTGGCACCACTGACACCACTTGCACCACCTCCATTGTGGCACCACATGCGTAGCTGCGTGGTGCAACCAAGGAAAATGATAATTTAGGCATATAAAAAAATTCAGCGCTGGCAAAAAATAAACCCCACGGGGCAAACACCAGAAAGCGACGACCCACCACCTCAGGCCACTGTGGTACACTTGGAAAAATTAGGGAAACTTAAGTTATTAAATTATGAAAAATAAATATAGAATAATTTGTGTCATACAATTTTTTTTTTCAAAGAAAATGTATATTTCCTAGAAACATTTTATTTAAAATTTGTTTATTTCTTTTTAGTTTTCATTTTTAAATCTTTAATTTTCCTTAAGCATTTTTTATATTGCTTGAGTGAGCAGTTTTTATTATTTCCTTATTATATTAAAAGGCTCTTAAAATTATCAAGATGTAATTAAACAGCTCTTAGTTTTATCTTTATAATTATAATTTCCTTTCATTGAAAGACATTTAACTGCTACTAGTTTTTTTTCTGAGTGTAGCGCCTCCTCCTTCTTCATTGGTTTCAACTCCATTAGGGGAACTCGTTTCGGTTTTTTCGACTTTTTGGGGCGCTGAAATCTAATACTTTAGCATGTTTTTTACAGATAGTCGCTTCCTAGACTCACTAGTCGTGACTAGAGTATCGATTAAACATGGTTCACTTATATTTTTTACATATTTTATTATTTTTGATTATTTTTTATTAAATTTTAATTGTGAGTGTTATGCGTTGTACCCGCCAAACGGGCGCCACAGGTGTTGCTCTGAGTTCGGTGCAATTTTTCCCAGTCAGTTCCACGAAGAAGGAGGTAACTCATCACCACATTTCGGGGCAATCAGGCAGCGGGTTTTTTTTTGTAAGCCAAGTTCCAAGCAGTTCCAAGTCCCAAACTTGGCTTGGAGTGTTGCCAAAAAGGAGGCTTACAAATTGGGCCCCCAACCAAAGCAACGACGACAGCTTATGCCAACGCCTTGGTGATTAACTTGGTGAAATATCAGTGGGTTTATTTATTTTGTTCTGAAAAGAGTAAGGAAATTTGTTAGATTTTTTTTTTAAATTTTTGAATAAGAATTAACCTTGTAAATTTGTAGTAGTTTACATTTTTAATATATTTATATATTTAAAAAATAATCTTATATTGCCTGTCAATAATCTGACAGCTTGCTTCACACACACCGTTGGCCACACTGGGGCCCCACTATGCCTGACTGGCTTTAATTAATCAACCAAGATCTGGCTTCTCTGGCTTCCAATTTATATATCCGCCGAGCCCCCGACTTCTTTCTATTCCCATTACTGTTCCACTGGCCCGGGCCAGTTGTCAAGTTCGCTGACAGATAAAGTCATTTGACATTTACAGGCATTGCCGACATGGCTCGACTTGTGGTCCAGCTCCTCCACCTCCACCTTCTCCTCCATAGTCAAAGCCAAAGCATACAATTTTCAAATTTGTATTAATTTCATATCGGTCGATTTGCGCGCATGCCAACATCCATCGATGCGATATTGGATATATTAAAAATAAAAATAAAATAAAGAAAAAACCCGAAACAAGTCAAAAAAGCACAAAAAGGGGGCCATAATTTTGGTGGCACAACTAGTTGCGGGCCAAAAGATAAAACGATTTATATGTGTCGATCGGAAAATTAATTGGACTCTTGCCTTTGCCCGAGTCGAATGACAGCAACAGCTTCTTGCCATTTTTAATATACACAAAACTAATTGAGTTTATATCGTTGAATCGTTTCTTTGCAGCTCCCGTGAACTTATCAAGTCTGCCATTTTGGATAATGACTTTATGAAGAATCTGGATCTGATGCAGATACGGGAAATCGTTGACTGCATGTATCCGGTCAAGTATCCAGCCAAGAATCTGATCATCAAGGAGGGCGATGTGGGCAGCATTGTCTATGTTATGGAGGGTGAGTAAACATTTTTAATTAATTAGAATTTTTATTTGAAGATATATTAAAGGTAGAAATTATAGAATTTATATCTATTTAAAGATATATTTAAGCTAGAAATTATAGGGAATTTATATATATTTTTTAAGGAGAAAATAATACATAAATATTTAATTAGTAGGCAATTTAGAAAATAATTATTTTAAGTTTAAATTTTCCTTATTACTTTCTCAAAGCTTTTCTCCATTTAAAAGTTCTCTGAACATTTTCCGTATATAGAAGGCTTAGCTGTCTTATACTTTCTCTTATACATTCAGCCAAAAAGTAGGCAATACGTTTGTTGTAAAATGCATGTAAAAATGCCTTTGGAGGGCTAAATTTCTTATGAACTGCAGGCAGTCTTGTTTGGCCTACAAAAAAACAAAAACCTGCATATGAGTCATCAACAAGAAATATATATTCCTATAAATATAATCTTGTATTTTTTTTTAACCAATTTAAGCTTAACTAAATATTTTTTTGAATTAAATTTTAAATATTATTATTGAATTTTCAAAGAAAAATGACTCAGTTTTCTTTATACAAAACATAGTATTACTTTAATATTTTCCTTTTTTGTAAAGAAAATTAAATACATTTTCATTCACTAATAAATTCAATAATATTTAAAGTTCACTGGAATACCAAAAATTATTTTACAGAAATATTAGCTTCTAATTATAAAAAGAACAACTTATTTTCCCATCAAAATCTACATATTTTCATAGTAATTCCCTTAGTTGTAGTTTCTTAATTTCTTTATTTTCCACATGGTCTTCCCTTTACTCTCCTTACTTACATTTTCGCCCACTTATTTTTCACATTTTCTTTATACTCCTATTTTACTATTTCTACCTTGCCCCGCCAAGATCGTGGCAACTCGTTGTGGCAGATAAACTGCACGTGTGTGTCTTGACCAGAAAAAAAAAATATGTGAAATACCTGAGTTCTTTTGGGCTGGGATTGTGTGCAGCGGGTCTGAGGGAGACCTATGGTCACACCCACGCCGCTGCCTGAGGAGGAGGAGAAGAAGTTCAGCGAAATGTCAGTGGCTGTGGCGAACAATGCGGGGTTTTTCCTTTCAGTTTTTGCTTTTTTTTCGCTTAACATTTTGTTTAATAGTTTTTTGCACGTTTCTGCGTTTGTCTTGGATTTATTTTACTCGATTTCTGGGTGCGACTCAAACTCCATGGCTAAATATTTGTCCGAAATGGGTTTGGTTTCGCTTGGGTTCTGTGTGGAGCGAGAGCGCCTCTCTACTGTTTAAATTATATTTGTTAAAGTACTTGACATTAGCATTTTAATTGCACTGACTGAGACCCCAAAAGTTACGAATATATTTGCTTACAAAAGTAATAAAAATGATAATCAACAGTCGAATATTATGCAGCATCCACAAGTGGCAAAGAGATGAATGCGAAGAGCGGATGCTTCCTCAATCTTGCTTGCAGCATCCATAACATGGCTTTTTGAGATTTTCCGCTTCCTTAACCTGAAGCTGGAAGCCTAGAGTCGGTGTCCCGCACTCGATCCGTTGAACAGATGTCACGGCATCTGTCCATATCACATACGATACCTCTTCATATCGCATCCGATGCATCTTCAGAGAGGGAGAAATCCCCCAGCAGATGTTGAAAAGATTTGGCTTAGGTTTCGGCCTTGCTGATATTTTTCAATACCCTGTAAAAATTCCTTTTATTATATTTTTTTGATAAGCATTCCTCGTGCCGATTAAAATACATTTTCACTATCTCGGGCCATGATGTCTGATTTATTTTAAACTCACTGCCTGATTAGCTTTTGCTAGTTAATAAATACTTTATTTAAAGTTGAGGCAACTTTTATATAGCTCGATTTTATTTTGGATTTCACACTGAGGTCACTGGACTTAATCTATATTCTATTTCTGCGAATTCATTGTTCCATTTATGAATTGTTACGTTTTCTACAAAAGATAACGTTTGTATTTCTTGAGATTTGCGTAGCGAATCGGTGTGTCTCTTATGGCCAAACCAGTTCGGCTGTACTCTATACATACACTGGGAAAAATCAATTGATAAACTAATAAATTATTTAATAGTTCATAACAATTTATTTAAAAAGAAATTAAATGTGCATTTCTTTTGGTTTGTTTGCATTTTCAGCTTAAATACATTTTTTGTTTTTTTTTTTATTTAAAATATTTTTATTTATTACATAATTAAAATAATATATTTATCTTGATTATAGTAATATATATCACAATTTTAATCCAAGTTTTTAAATTCGAAACTCTTCATATTTTACATTCTATTATTAAAATCTAGTTTCTTGCTATACTTTTTCTATCAGTGCACAGCACTTGTTTTTGTTTTGCCGTATACCTGTGTTATGGTGTGTGTATTATGTTTCGGCTATGTTTTCATTTTGCTCTCTCAGGCAGTACTCTCTCCAGATACACACACATATAAAGGAAATGATCTCTTGATTGCTGGCTCTCTCACCCACGAACAAAAACAAAGTCCGACTAGGCCTCAGCTGCTGCATTATCTCTCCCACACTCCGAAACAGAGAAAGAAAATATGTGAAAAAATAATACAAATTAATAAGAAATACTTGTTATATTATTTATATTTTTAATTAATCATAATAATTTATAAATATATATATAATATTAATATATATATATATTTATATATGAAAATTGTTTATCATCAAAAAACCCCGTTGTTAATCTGATGATGTTAGTCATATTTTTCCACTGTGTACGTTCCGCTCTCTCTCTCTGGCTTTCCCCCTATCTCTCAGTTGAAGCTGAGTGAGTAATGCCTGAGCATAAATAATAATACTCGTATTCCGATTCCGTCCACCGATCTCTCGCAATTCGCTCGCCATTCGTCCGGTCAGAGTCGCAGCGAGAAAACGTGTGAGGCGCCTGCGCGCTCGGCTGCTATTGCACCTGGATTTTTGTTGTACCTTTACAAGCGAGGCGGCGGTGTTACAAGGGACCCCAAACTCCCACTTCGTGTTTCGTTCCGTTTCGTATCGTGATTTCTTGGGCGACATTTTGATTCGTGCAGTGAGTGTTACGGTTCTTGGGCTTCAGTTTTGCATATTGCATTATTTGCTGCGAAATCGAGAACCGATGCCGCCGCGAATCCGCGAGTTGTAATAAAAATACATTCCTCCGGACAGTTACAATGGCACACACATGCCTGTGCCGCCTTTGAGCTATTTTTCCAACAATGCCCATATATAAATAGCTTTAGTTGCGGTAGTTGTTCTACTAAATATCTGAAATATCTCAATAAACAAAACCGCACCCAGGGAAATCCGTGTTAATTTCTTTGAACTACACTGGGAAATTCTTAGAAAAATTCCAGTAAATTAAAAGTGAAAGTGAATTGTTGTTTAACAAAAACATTACTAAATGTGCAAAGAATGAGACACTGAAAACGGAGACTCTTGGATTGTTTTTTTGCTCTTTTTTTCTTGAAATCGAATTGAACAACAACAACAACAAGAAAAAAGATCACTTGAAGAATTCCGGTTTGTGGTTTTCCTCTAAAGCAGCAGCTGTTTGTAGTTGTTGTTGTTTCTGTTGCTGTTACTTGCTCCGTTGATTTGTATTTTTTGTCTTCGGTCATTGGTCCGAAAATTAAACCCAAAAAATAAAAATAAGAAGCAGAAACAGAAAATAATGGTGTAGAAATACAGAAATTATAAAGCAGCAAAACTGTATAATGCCAAATGTCAACACTTTGGTTTCGATCGTGCAAGAATGTGGAGAACATGAAACCCCAACAACAGAATCTGATATGATATAAAAGAAATTCAGCCGAAAAAAATTCAGCAAAAAATGTAATAAAAAAAAATATATAACTAGAAAAAGAGTTAGAAATCGTGTGAATAAAACCCATTCAAAAAGATAATGTTAATGGCAAAGAAAGAAGCATCATCTCATCTTTGTAACCTGAAATCGGGTCTCCACACCTGTCTCTCTTTTGACTTCTTTTGTTCTGCCTAACCTGAGGTTAAACTAGAGTCAACTCGGGTTAGTAGTTAGCGGGGGAAACAGACCGACCGGTTGGTAGCACCGGATTTGCCCCGGAACCCAGCCACCAGCACTCACTCTCACTTTTATAAGCAAAACCCAAACAAGTTTTGCATTTTGCCTTTTGACATGCCAAGTGAACTATACACGCTCGCTCCACTGACTTGTGATTGAGTAATATAATAGGCGAAAAGTGGAAAATGATTGCTAGACGGAAGGGGGAGATCACCAGATCATTGGGAAACTGGGTTCAGGCCACCAGCTGTTGGATTTCAGAAGAGGTTTTTTTTTCTAATTGACCCAAAAAAGCGAGTGGAACCGATGTAGTGGCTTCTTCTTGAGACTAATTTCTTTAATTTGGTATTTTCTTTAAGTGGAAAATGAATGCTTGAAAGGAAAAATAGTCAGATCATTGGAAATTTAATGCATAATTGATTATAAACAAGTGGAACGAATTGCCTTATTGTTTAAGGGAAATTGTAGCCAAGTTTTTAAAGAAGAAACACTGAACAAAAGCTAAGAAAAACCCTGTAATAAATAGTATTAAAATGTTACGTATATTTATAATAATTTGCATTTAATTATTAATTAATTATACCGACACCACCAGAAGCATTTTTAAACACTGATTAATCGAAAGTTAATGATGCCAAGACATCAATGTTAGCAAAAGATAATTTCTATTGGCATTTATATTAGCATTTTATTATGTTAATTTACTTAATTTAAATGTCACTTTAACATATTTATTCAAGTAACAAAAAGACGTTAGACTTTATATTATGAAAGTTTTTTAGTGTCAGAAAAAAGTACCGCTTCAGCCGAGGGCATTTCCCATTGATCTTTTCAATCTAATCAGCAGTCAGAGCTTGGGATTCCATCACGAGAACCTTATATATAGATCACTTGATTGTCTCGTTTGTCAGCTTTATCGCAGAATATTTAATTATATACACGAAATCGAACTGAACAAAGAGAGAAGTGAACCACACACGCTCTCAGATTTTGCGGGAATAATAAAATAATAACTGATTCCCGGAGAATCAGTCCCATTTCGATTCTTGCTTGACTACAATCTAAATTTTATATACAAAAGTTTGTTCTTTCAATTCGATACGATATCTCCTCCTCCCTTTTGTATTTGTTTATAACTTTCTTTATGGGTAACTTTCATTAGCATTAAGACAAACATCGTTGCTGAAGCCATAAATATTTATTATGATGATCGCAGAGATCTGGTCTCTGTGTCAAAATGCGGTCAAAAAGAGTGACTAAGCCATTGCCGCTGTTTTTTTCAGTTTTTTTTATTTTTTGCCAGGCCATAATTGTCAGTCAAAAGGGCGGGCCAAAAAACCAAATCATGTTTTGTGTGTATAATTAAGAAAGAGCTGCCAAGCAAAACCGAGAGTGACTTGGTCTGAATCCGTATCTGAATCCAACTTCGCTGCCCTTGGCATACAAGCCCAAGTCTGTGACTAACTTGGCTTTAATCGAGGTTTCCTTTAAGTAAAACAAAAACCCAGCTCTGGAGATCCGTTAAATTCTATAAATAGCCGACTTCCTTAAAAGAAAAATGCTTTAAAAAACTTGAAAAATTAATGCTTATGTTGTGTAACTTTTAGTTTCTAGATTTTTGAAGTTCCTATTGAGTTTCCCACGACAATCAATTTGATTTGCTTCCTAAGTTTAACCTTAATTCATGGCTAAAAAATTGATAAGTGTTTTTATTATCAGTCTGTTATTATTGTATTTTTTTCTCGGTGCAAATGTTAGGTTGTTTATTTTATTTTTTTGTGTTTAGCGGATTCTCGTTTCCCGCCTCTCGGCGATTGTATTCAAATCGGCAAATCCACAGACACTGGCTGACCTTGCGAGCCCCAACATTCATCCATTAAGGCCCGAAGCCAGTCAGACCCTGGTCATTGCGAAAAATGTCTGCAGTTTCAATTTGTACACACAATTTTTCTCTTTTTTCTGTTTTGTTTGAAGCTGCTCAGCTGGGCTTGACGGATTTCCGCATTTTTAAAAACGAGTCGAACCTCGACCCATGGTGAACTCGTTGAACCCCAAACAGATTTTGGGGTACATACTATTTTTGGAAAATTCAACCATTCATTTTTGGAAAAAATACACTCTCTAGTTGTATTTGTTGTTTAATTTTTTCGGTTAGGCAGGCAATCAGTGCCGGTTCTTATCTGTGTAAAAGCCCCAAGCACGAGTTGTTGATAAGGGCTTCTCCGGTTTCCCTCGCTCTCTTCCTCTCTGTCTCGATTTATCTCTCCCCCTGTCGCTGGAAATTCACTCGTTTTACGCAAATAAACACCTAGAGACCAGGTAATTTATTTGCTATTAGTTACGAGAATAGTTCAACAACACCCAACGTGTATTTCGGTCTTTGTTTACCTTGCGATTGATCATGTTAATGGCCCTGTGAAGGTGATCATTGTTTGGTTATTTGTGATCACAGCTCGTAATTTACTGTTTGTCGCCGGTTTTTTGTGTTTGGTGTTGTTTATTCATTCACTGTTTATGCCACAATTAAGCGTGTTCAATTGGTTCGCAGATCGGAGATAGCAAATTGAGGAATTTGTTACTTGAAAGCATCTCAATAACAATTAGTTTTTGTGGTTAAATAAAAACACATTTTGTTTGATTTATATAAACAAACGTTGAACGTTTAATAACAATCGATTGTTTGTGGGTATTCAGTATTATTATTCAGAAAATGACGTTAGTTTAAGAGCAAATTTACCAGACAGGGGATTTTATAGTTAAATTATAAATATTTATAATACTCTTACTAACTACTCTTTTACTAACTAGATTTCTATCTTAAAGCTTATGACGTTAATAGTTTACACTAGTTTTGCGGGGTTAGTAGATTTCCCAGAATTTTATTATATTTATTCATTTATATCTAAATATATATAGAGATTTTTTACCTGAATTATCTCTTTTTCACTTATAAAGTCAAAAAAATTTCCACTGTTTGTAGTATTTATCATATAATTTTCTTTTATAATTTAAATATTAAAGATTTAATACTACTTTGTTCACTTCACTTGTTTTTCTACGAAATATAAATAATATTCATGGAATACATCCTGAAGTATCCAACTTTATATAATTTTATCACTTATTTTCTTGATTTTTTACAAGTTTTATCTTCTCTTCATGGAATACACCCCCAAGTAACCCACTTTATATATATTTATCTAATTAAAAATTATACTATTTGCCTTTCCAATTGAATATCCCCTTTTATTGTCCAAAATACTGACTCACAATTTGCATCCCTCTTAATAAATATTTGATGGATCGCCCACAGATCTCCTCTAATATTTCATGACTCACAATAGTGTCATATTCATAGTTCACTGATCTGTCAAGATCTCATTTGCGTCAGTTTGCTCCATCAATTAGCGTAAATTGATCCACAAATCGTTACAAAACATCCCTGGGAGAGTCAACTTTAACAATTCCCCTTCAGATACAGAGTCACGCTCCATTTTTCGAGCCCAGCACCGATGGTCACAGTGTTTATTTATTTTGGGTTTTCTGGTTTAAAATTTTGCGACTACGTCACTCCGCCTTTATTTGATGTTTACCTTGTGGCAATATCGCCAATTGTCACTTCTCTTCTCCCCACTTTCATTCACAATTATTGGCTTATTTGCTAATTTTGTGGATGATGATTAAGTTTTCGTTGCACTTGGCAGCTGCTGGCAGTTTAAAGTTGAGGTTTCATGTCGAAAAGTAAATCGCGACTCATTCATTCACACGCTGCTAACGAACAATTGTCCGAAATTAATTTGCAACTTAAGCTAAATTGCTTTTGTGGCGTTATTGCAAGAAATCAAGTTTTTTTCAGAGTAAATTCCCCAAAAATCCGGTAGAGATTGTTGTCTTTTTTGTCAGCACAATTGGGGTGGAGATGATAGGAGTTCTGTGAAAATGGAATTAAAGAAGTTGATTAGTTTTAAGATTTTTTAAGAATTATTTAAGAATAATGATGGGTTCTTTGGAATACCTTTTTGAACGGAGATTGCAAGAGTATATCTCTTATTCTGTGCATCTTTTAAGCTTTGCCTGCAATGTACAAGCAAATTAGTAAAACGGCATTATAGGTTTCTTAAAGTAAATGTTAGCTTTAATTTTTAAAAATATTTTTGAAGCTATTTGAGGCTCTGATATAGTTTACTTTAGCTAAAATTTGTTAGTTTCCTATTTTTGTACCCATCACTGTACTGTATAGCTTTTGTCAAAGTTGGTAGGATCAACTAACCATAAACAAACAATCAATGCATAAAACGTGTGGCAAGCCGCTAAAAAAAAAAAACATGGAAAGTTTACGACATCTAAATAAACAATGATCAGTGACTGAAACAGCAACTAAAACAGCAACAGACAGCAGAAAAAAAGATTTTGCAATAACAATAAATAAATAACAAATACAAAATACAAATTGTTACCCGCTTTACAGGCCTTTTAAACGAACCATCTCGCCTTTACTCTGTGTGTTTCTCTGTGACTCTTCAAATATTCCGTGCGCGAAATTTCAAAAAGCTCCGCGAGAGTTATGCAAAAGACTCGAAGAAGACGCCCAAACACAAGGCACAAAAACATAAACTAAACCGAAGAGCCAAGACAAACGTGAAAACAAAGCACGTCTGCGGGCTGCCGCTGGTCAAGTGAAATTTTTTACAAAAAACAAAAAAAGAAAACCTAAAACCCCTCAAAGAAAAACCTCCAGCGCCGCCTTTGGTGTGTGTTTCGTAATGAAAATTAAACATTATCCAGGCAAAGCTGTCGACGCCAGTCTTTCGCTGGAAGGCAGCAATGCCATGGGGGCTCTCTACGAGGCCAACTGGCTAAGGGCTGCCACCCAGGCCCAGACGCAGACGGCCCTGTCCCAGGTGCAGCCCCAAACCGCCTACCCAACCCAGCTCACGCGATCCCCCTCGAAGCTAAGCCGGCAGAGCAGCTCGGCGGGCAGCGGCAGCAGCTTCCTGCTCGAGGGAATCTCAGCTTTGAGCAAATACCAGATAGCCTTGGAGAATATCCGGCAGTTGGAGCAGCAATCTCAACAAGCCCGTGACAAAAGCATCGTGAGCACCATTAAGGAGCTGAATGGGTACAGACCATCCCCCATGCAGCATCATCACCAGCACAATGGTTGGGTTACCGAAGAGCAGGATCATCCGCAAAAGAACAAAGTACTTCCAGATGAGGAGAAAAAGAAACCCCAAGAGGGAACACCTGCTGTCAATCACTACGTTTTGGATCCCACGGAAAGAGCCAGGCTGCCACGTCCCCGGCAACAGCTCTCGGTGAAGCCACCCTCCCTGCGTCGCTCTCAGACTATGATGATGCAACAGCCACCCAGTTATGTCACCTTGAGGACATCGCCTTCGAAATCCTTTCATAAATCCCAGAAAAATCTCAGCCACAGTGGTTCCTCTGCCACATACTCCACATTCTCCTCCGCGGCCGATGATCAGGATCAGGATCAGGTGGTGATTTGCCAGCAGCCGCAGAGGTTGATATCCCCGCCTCCGCCTAGAGAGCCCCCGCCAGAACCACCCAGGAGAGTGGTAACCAAGCCTCTAACCCGCTCCCAGACCTCTGTTCAGCGATATGCCACCATTCGGTTGCCCCATGGACAGTCGACTTCGTTTAGCAGAAGCATAGCTCAACCTAGAGAGTCCACATCATCGCTGCGGCGGCATAGCCTGGAGCAGGCTATCAAGGGTCTTAAAATGGAGGAGGAGGAGATGGCGAAGGATGTACGCCAGAAGAGCCCACTCATGGAACGCCTCTCGCCCGCTCCTAGTAGCAATGGCAGCTCCAAGGATCTCAATGGCGAGGGCTTTTGCATTCCACGTCCTCGTCTTATTGTTCCTGTTCATACATATGCCCGACGTCGTCGTACTGGGAATCTCAAGGAGCAGTCCAGTGGGGGGCAGGAGGAAGAGGAAGCGGATACTAAGAAGGGTAAGGGTTAGGGAGGAGAGGGAAGGAGCTTGTTTTGAAATGAGTAGAGATCTTTAGGTATCTTGAAGATACTTATTGTAAAATGGGAATTTCAGATTCTTACGTATCTCTAAGATACTCTTAAATCTTTTAGAAAATCAAGAAAAAAACTATTTAGATTATATTTAACATAGAAAATATATTAACTAAGCTTAAATGGATCTTTAATATAAATATTTCTTAATGTTTTCTAGCTAATCCCACTAATAAACCCCCTCTTTCTCCCTTCCAGATGGCCGCGTTGAGGTATCCCGCGAGGGCAAATACCTTTCAACCCTTTCGGGTGCCAAGGTCCTGGGCGAACTGGCCATCCTGTACAATTGCCAGCGAACGGCGACCATTACAGCCATCACCGAGTGCAACCTGTGGGCCATTGAGCGCCAGTGCTTCCAGACCATCATGATGCGAACGGGCCTGATCCGCCAGGCCGAGTACACTGACTTCCTCAAGAGGTGGGTACCTGCAGACTTTCATACCTCTCAGACTTCCTTCCCCAATCTCTGGCAATCTCCAAACATTTAATGTGAATTTTAATGAGGCTTTTGAGCTGCTGGGGGGATTGGCGATCGACTGGTTATTTGCCATTTGGGCGTAATTAATGTTCATTTGCACTTAATTATATCAATACAGGCGAGTGTAGACCGTGTTTGGCCATTACTCCTAATGGCAAAAATGTAAAAATCGTTTTAAGGATTGTTTTTTTCTCCCCGATTTGTTTTTTTAAATCGTGCAAGGTTTTTTTTGAGGAAAAAAGTAAAGTAACTTTCTCCCAGCAAATGGGCAGAGATAGACAGCTCTTCAGGTGCCACAACAGCATCATAGTCATAGTCATCGGCATCGTCATGGTCATGGGCGTCCATTCGTATGACGTGCAATGCCTCAAACTCAATCTTGCAATCTTGAAAACTCACTTGCGAGTCTTGAAACTTCAAACACCAAACACCAAAACTGCGGCCAACGAACGAACGCATAGAAATTTTCTTTTCAAACTTGGCAACATGGCAACCAGTTTGTTGTTGCAGCTTCCATCCAGTCAGTCTCAAGACCAGTTCCCTTCCTCCTCCAAAACTTGTAGAGTGACCGGCAAATTAATCGCATTTAATTGGTCGCCCGTAAAAAAAAAATGCTAAATAATAATAAAAAAAAAGAAGAAAGAAATAAACCATGATTGAGGCCTTGCACTCGTTGCCTATTCCAGATACAAAAAAGTAGCGGAAAAGCGGAAAAACAGTTCATAGAAAATGAAAGTCCCATGATCATGATGATGATGATGATGAGGATAGATTTAGATTCGGATGCTGGATAAGGTAGCTGCATCTTACAGAAACATGTGTTTGTAGACAAATTGCGAGAAGCTGAAAGCATGGAAGTGGGTCATTAGACTCCATACCCATTACCCTGGAATTCTCCCATCTAGATCGAAGTTTCTTAAGCACTTTCTTTTGCTTTTTTGCTTTTGAAGATTCAAGATTAATATCAGCTTGTAACTAACAATTTTTGGTTGATTTCTTTCTACTTCTTTTCCCCTCAGTGTTCCCATCTTCAAAGACCTGGCGGATGACACGCTTATCAAGATCTCTGATGTCTTGGAGGAGACTCACTATCAGCGCGGCGATTATATAGTGCGCCAGGGTGCTCGAGGTGATACCTTCTTCATCATTTCCAAGGGCAAGGTAAGGGTGACTATCAAGCAGCAGGACACCCAGGAGGAGAAGTTTATACGCATGCTGGGCAAAGGAGATTTCTTTGGCGAGAAGGCTCTTCAAGGGTGAGTTTTAAATGCTTTTAATTAATTAAACTCCTTGCTAATTATTTTTTTATATTTATTAAAGCGATGATTTGCGCACAGCAAATATTATATGCGAGTCTGCTGATGGCGTCAGTTGCTTGGTCATTGATCGCGAGACCTTCAATCAGTTGATATCCAATCTGGACGAGATCAAGCATCGCTATGACGACGAGGGGGCCATGGAGCGCAGGAAGTAAGTAAAAAACACAGGTACACAGCCAAAAATTTCCACGAACCATTTCAAGTTTTCCATGATATTTGGGTGCTCCTGAGTAAAAGTCCCATACAAAATTGTTTTCCATCACCTACAGGTTTCGCGGTATACCTAAGAATACAAAAAACCTATGTTTGCCGACATTTTGAATAACGTGGCCTATATAATTGGACTTACCTTTATTATTTTTGGTAGGACCTACTCTCAATACATCACGGCACTACTAAAAAATAGTCCCAACCGTGGACCATTGTCCATGTCTTTGGAATTCGACGCCAAAGTTGAAACTCCCAAAATTTTCAACATTTCTGTTATGAAAAAACAATTCTGAGAATTAAATCTTCCATGGGACTAATTTTAAATTTTCATTGAATCTATTGCTCATTGTATTCTTTAATTTCGGTTTAAAGCGTTTTCATGAGGACATTTTATTGGATTTATTAAACAAATAAAACCGATTTTTTGGTTTTATTATCTACTACTATTTGCTGTCAAATTTCAAATAAGTCAAGGCAACCTATAAAATAGTAGTAGATTAGTTTCTTTTTATATATAATATACATTTTTTCTTTTTGACTAAACTTAAATATGTAAGGATTATCGCTGGGTACTAAGTTGTCTTAAAAATGTTATGTTCGGAAGACCTTTTTATTTAATATACAACTAAATGTATATTATATATAAAAAGAAACAAATCTACTACTATTTTATAGGTTGCCTTGACTTATTTGAAATTTGACAGCAAATAGTAGTAGATAATAAAACCAAAAAATCGGTTTTATTTGTTTAATAAATCCAATAAAATGTCCTCATGAAAACGCTTTAAACCGAAATTAAAGAATACAATGAGCAATAGATTCAATGAAAATTTAAAAATTAGTCCCATGGAATTTTAATTCTCAGAATTGTTTTTTCATAACAGAAATGTTGAAAATTTTGGGAGTTTCAACTTTGGCGTCGAATTCCAAAGACATGGACAATGGTCCACGATTGGGACTATTTTTTAGTAGTGCCGTGATGTATTGAGAATAGGTCCTACCAAAAATAATAAAGGTAAGTCCAATTATATAGGCCACGTTATTCAAAATGTCGGCAAATATAGGTTTTTTGTATTCTTAGGTATACCGCGAAACCTGTAGGTGATGGAAAATAATTTTGTATGGGACTTTTACTCAGGAGCACCCAAATATCATGGAAAACTTGAAATGGTTCGTGGAAATTTCACAAAGTTTAATTTTGTGTTCCTGTGAAATTAAAAATTAAATGAAGCTTTGGGGAATTTAAAGAATCCCGATAACAAATCACATGAGCTTTGTTTATTCAAGCACATTTTGTTTGCTTGAAAATGTCCCTAGATTTTTACATTAACTATAACCTTTTTCTTTCCAGAATCAATGAGGAATTCCGTGACATTAACCTCACCGATCTTCGTGTGATTGCCACCCTGGGTGTGGGTGGCTTTGGCCGTGTCGAACTGGTCCAAACCAATGGCGACAGCTCCCGTTCTTTCGCTCTGAAGCAAATGAAGAAATCGCAGATTGTGGAGACGCGACAGCAGCAGCACATCATGTCCGAGAAGGAGATCATGGGCGAGGCCAATTGCCAGTTTATTGTGAAGCTATTCAAGACCTTCAAGGACAAAAAGTACCTGTACATGCTCATGGAGAGCTGTCTGGGCGGTGAACTCTGGACGATACTAAGGGACAAGGGTAACTTTGATGATGGCACCACTCGCTTCTACACGGCCTGCGTGGTGGAGGCCTTTGATTATCTGCACTCGCGGAATATTATCTATCGGGATTTGAAACCGGAGAATCTGTTGCTCAATGAACGTGGCTATGTGAAGCTGGTGGACTTTGGCTTTGCCAAAAAACTGCAGACGGGCAGAAAGACATGGACATTCTGTGGGACACCAGAGTATGTGGCACCGGAGGTGATACTCAATAGGGGTCATGACATCAGTGCGGATTACTGGTCGCTGGGAGTGCTCATGTTTGAGCTGCTGACGGGTGAGTAGCTATGGTAGGAAAAGCTTGATGTTTACTATATAATTTCTGTTATCCGACAGGCACACCACCCTTCACTGGCTCTGATCCCATGCGCACCTACAACATTATACTTAAGGGCATTGATGCCATTGAATTCCCCAGGAATATCACACGCAATGCCAGCAATCTGATCAAGAAGCTGTGCCGCGACAATCCCGCAGAGCGTTTGGGCTACCAGCGTGGAGGCATTAGCGAAATTCAAAAGCACAAGTAAGTTAGAATTTCAGAAATCTGTATAAAGTAGGTATTAACCTCTCATTTTCAGATGGTTTGATGGCTTCTATTGGTGGGGCCTGCAGAACTGCACCCTGGAACCCCCTATTAAGCCCTCGGTCAAGAGCGTAGTGGATACGGCCAATTTTGATGACTATCCCCCCGATCCCGAGGGTCCGCCGCCAGATGATGTCACCGGCTGGGACAAGGACTTTTAAGAGGGCAAGCAGAATCAGTGTCCTTCCAGACGATGCTCTCTAAAAGGCTTCTGCTACAAGCAAAGAGTAGAAATTGATCTTAAGTGCGCCATATATGTACGCCAAAGCCAACAGCAACAGTCAGCAGCTTGGAAACCACGAAAAAGCTGCCCACAAATTTCATAAAGAAAGTAGCAGTCGCAAGGCCAAGGGCTTAAACATCGTCTTGGCCCTTTTTAGATTATAGATTTATATATATGAAACCATGATGATGTGCAACGCAATGAATTTATTAACGAGTTTATAACTATTATTTTGTAATGAAGAGGAGATAAAGGAGCAAGGAATTGATATAACTTGTAAGTAGGTTTTCTCTGTTAGCCATGTGCATTGTATAAAATTCTTTCTATTCGTATCTATTATAATATTATTAACATAATTATTAGGAATCATTGTTATCACGGTTGCCTTATAGCCTGTAAGAACATTTTTTAAAACAAGCTAAACATCTGACCCAGATTGTATGTCATAAAACCTAAAAAAACCATTTGTTAAAGCTCCTATGTGGCCTCTCTTCTATCTTTCATTAGTCTTAGCGTGTCATTTTCTATTATTTGTACGAATAATATGCCTTTTTAATTGTCTTTTATAAGTAAAAACCAGTTAGAAATTGAATAAAACAAATTTATGCAAAGATAAATTATAAAATAATTATTAAATTAAAGCAACTCCTGGTAGTTATAGTTGCTGCTGATAAGGAATATGACATATTATGACATACGTAGCCTGAACTTTAATTTATTCGAGTGCTAAAAGTTATTAACAATATGTGTTTACACAAAAAAACCCACTCAAAAGCAAGGTACTTCCTGCATCGTAGCTTCTCTCGGGCGCAACACGTTTTCAGAGAGAGTGCAGCGGAAAATATGCAACAAGAACGAAAAAGAGTGGCTAGAATGAAAACGAATTTGGCTAAAAATGAAAACGAAAACGAAAACTCGGCTACGTGCTCCAAACGGAAGAACAGAACGAATCGCAGCAACCAGAGAAAGCTGAGAAGAATCTGTCAAAGTGCAAAGACACATTTAATGTGAGCATTCTGCAAACGAAGCTCGTGCAGTTTGGAACAAAACGGAAAATCGGAGCTCTCAATTTAAACAAAAGATCGGAAACCTTTTTGGTTTACAGTTTTGCAATATATTTTAATGAATTAAATACAAAAATGTTTTCAATACGATGCTGGTTGCGACTTGGATTGCTATTGCTTTTCGTGGTTGGCCTCTCGCTGGCTTTGCCGAGCTTGGAGAATCATACAAGGGAACAGATTGAAGAGGTGGTGGGTGAGTAAGAGAGGAGGAAATAAGAGTTAAAAACGTTTACAAGGCTGTTTTGAAATTATTAAAAAACCATGAAAGCAAGTAACCTTAAAAAAAAGGAAAAACTTGATTACAAAATTGATCATAACTAAGAGAAAAAAGGTTAAATTTCAATTTGGAAAGCTTTTCTATGCTATTTTTTTGTAGGCTAACAAATCTGCATACTAAAATTAATTTTTAAAAAAATCAAAATTTTGTGGGATTTTTGAAAATTTTAATGATGTAACCCCTTATCACATTTCGTAAAAATTGAAAAAAAAAAAAATTTTTTTTGGCTAGAAAGATTCGTCTTTTAATTCTGATCAAGAAAATATATACTTTATGGGGTCGGAAATGACTCCTTCATTGAAAAAAAAAGATAAAACCCCTAAAAAAGATAATTTTTTGGACAAGTCGAAGTTTAAAAATTCTGTAACTCAGTCAAAAAAACTTTAAATTTAATTTGGAAAGCATTTCTATGCTAGTTTTTTTTAGGTTAACAAATCTGTATACTAATTAAAAAAAAATTTTTTGTGTCGATTTTTGGCAATTTTAATGATGTAACCCCTTATCAAATTTTGAAAATGGCTAAAAATTTTTTTTGCTCCAAAATGGCTTAGTCGACTCAGCTGATGATGCTGATCAAGAATATATATGGTTTATGGGGTCGGAAATGACTTTTTCATGGTGTAACTAGCTTCTGATTAAAATTAGAATACTCTAAAAAACACATTTTTCTCTTTATTTCTTTTAAAAATCATTTATTTGTTCTAAAATAATATCTAGCTTATAAAACGTAACAGAAAAAATGTTCTTCTTGAGGTATTATATATTTTTTTATAAACAAATTAATTAAAATACACATTTCCAGCTTGTAAACAACCCAAGGCCCCTGGCCTCTGCCGAGGACGTCAGCTACGCTATGCCTTCAACAAGGACACTGGTAACTGTGAGAGCTTCTACTACACCGGCTGCGGCTCCACTGAGAATAATTTTCTGACCTACGAGGAGTGTCGAAGGGATTGTATGCAGCGTCTACGCTATTGATTAAAGGGAAATTTATACAAAATTGTATTTTAACTACCAACTTAATGCATATATTTTTGTTGTTACCAAAAATTGCACTAAGATGTCTTTGATTTCTTGTTGAGATGTTTAGGTTTATCTTTTCTACAACAAAAGTAACTTAAAAGTAGGATTAAGAGAGTAAAGGAAAGCAAGATCAGGAGTATACTATCCAAAGAGTGATAGATAAAACCATTTAGCTCAATTCCTGGGGATTGGAGGAGCTTACTGGCCACCAGGCCATGTTGTATGACATGCTCCACAGACCAAATGGCCAGGTCCAAGGGGGTTTCCCGACGTTGATTGAAAACTTTGGATATTTGTATAGAATTTTTGGTATAACTGTAAGGTAAATGAGTTATTTAAGGTTTTTTTTGTACTAAATAATTATTTAAAAAGTTATACCTGTTTTTGCTTAGCTCTTTAAAGGCTTGCTTTAGATTTTTAACATTAATCTCTTCATAGTCCAACTTGAGACCCATGCCCCGATTTTGCACAGAAAAAGCATTCAAGAATTGATCACCATAAATGGGAGTAACCAGCATGGGTTTGCCACAGTGTACGGATTCCGTAGTGCCCAGAAGACCGCCATGGGTCCAGAATAACTTGATTTTGGGGTGACCTAAAAGGGGGATTGGGTAAATATGTAAATAAAGAACCTTAACCGGTTTTCTAGTTTATAAAAAACCGGTAAAAGTGAAGGTTAAGTAACTCACAAAGTAAAGCCAACTGGGGAGCCCATTTCACAAATAGAAATTTCGAGGAATCCACTTTAGGAGTCTTGACCTTCTCATCCTCTTCCCATTTCCATATAATTCTCAAGGATAAACCTTGTAGAACCTCCAACATGGCTTTTAGCTTTTCATCATCAATGCTGGAGGCACGGACCATAGAGCCCCAGCTTATGAAGATTACTCCCTTTTCAGATTCATTTAGGAAGTTGGTTATATCTTCAGGTAATTCCTTCTCTGCCTTTTCTGTGATGTGAACTCCACCAATTTCCACAAATTGCAAGGACTGTGGACGACTGCCCATCAGGGAATAATGTTGATTGCCAAATATAAAAGCAGTCTGCTGGCGAGCCACTTCTTCCACATCCATTTCCAGGCCAAGATACCTTCTTATAACTTCATTATCCTTTGGATTCGAGTGATATTTGTATAGATACTTGAGCATCTTGGCTTGCACAAAGTTGAGCAAGCGTTCATGCCACTTGAGTCTTCCAGCAAAACCCACAAATTCCGATTGTATAAACGAAGGTGTATCTGGTAGATCTATGCGATCGTAGTAGTAGGGCATCAGGGCACAAGTACTCAGGCCTATAATTGGCAGATTCATTAACTTGGCCAAGGCCAGCTGGCAGTCTGAATTGAAGTATTCCGTTAGCAAAAGATCATAGGGCTTGCTTTGGTGTCGCTGGAGCACAGTTTCAATGTGTCCGCTGCCAAAGAGATGCTCACAGGTCTCCTGACCTTCCTCATGAAGAGCTAGATACTCCCTGAACAGCACACCCAAAGATCTGGTGGGTGTATTCTCCGTCAAGGGAACCAAATTAATGGTGGTACTTGACTGATCCTCTCCGGCAGCCGAAATCAAGAGCTCCTCATAGTTGGGCAGGGTTTTTCCCTCCAGATTCTTTACATATGAAATCACTGTCACCCGATGACCACGCCTCGCCAGCTCATTGAGTATAGGCATCACCACCTTAGAGTGGCTAAAGCCAAAGTGTGGATAAACGGCCAGAACATTACCAGCCACAGTCTGACGAGGAATCCCCGCGAGAATTGCTAATAGTAAGAACACTCCACTGCGCAGCAACGTTGTCATCGTTGTGTTGTTTTCCACCAAATGAAGCGAACCATTAAATTTGTTACCCAACCGATTGTTGTGATGATAACCTTATCGTCCATTGTTGATGATAATAACGAGATCATTACGAGCTAAGTGGAAGTGGAAGTGTTGTTTGTTTGTTGTGGTTTCTGATTGGCTTGGATTACTGCACTTGTTGGGCTTCTTCTTATCATGGAAAGTTCCAACTGGAATTGTAATGGCTATCGATATATCGATATTGTAATCGATGTAAAGCATTGGGGGAGTTTATAACTATTTAAATTTTAAATTTATTTAACAAGAAATCAATGAGGGTTTTTTTGTTTTAAATAATAATTATTTTGTTTATTGTTTGTTTCCAAAAAACCAAACAAACAATAAACAAAATTAATCTCAGACTATGACTAATTAAGCGATAAGGAAAGGAAAACTGCTTGAATTACAGGTACTCCCTGAAAACTATTTTTACCTGTCTTTGTCTTTTGGAAGAGGAAATGCACCAACGTAGATAAGGACACTCTGAAAAATCCTATAAAATCAAGAGACAATCCTCAGGCCGCGTTTATTCATTAAAATCCCACTCCGTATAGGTCATTCTCTTGCGGCAAATATTATGTTTAAATTAATAATTTGTTTATTGCGTGTAATTTTAATATTAAATCAGTTTGAATCCTTGACAGGATTACAAAATAGTTCAAGTTCAATGTGCATTTATCCTAATAAATCTAATAAATCCAAAGAATTTTACAAATTAATTTTAAAAGGTTTATTGCCTTTTAATGTTAACCTGCTGCAGAAGAATTACAACAAATTAAATGAAAATCAAGGCCAGATTGAGACTCTTCTAAGGGAATTTCGGATTGAGAAAGAAACCCAACAAAACGTGACCAAAGTCCTGCAGGCAATGATTCTAAAACTCATTCCCCAAGATCTTCATCATCGGCTAGCCAAGATTGATCACCGTCAGCAACTTCTTCAGAACAGTATGAAAATTCAGAATAAAATGATTCTGAATACTAAGGAAATGCAGCTTCAAATTAATCAGAAACTAATAAACAAACAACTTGAAACTATCAAGAAACTGATTCCTCAAGAAATTAAACAAAGCCTTAAGGCTTCACATGTAAACATCCGATTTCAGTTCTCGAAAATTCAAAGAACCCTCTCCAAAATCGAGGCACACCAAAGATTCCAAGCCATTGGTTTAAAATTCTATTATATCGAAGATAATATCAAACAAAACTGGACAACTGCATCCCAATCTTGTCGCAAAATGGGTGGTAACCTGGCTACCCCTCAAAACAATGAGGAATTTCAGGCTATCAAAGGAAAAATTAATCCTGATCATGTCTATTGGTTGGGTATTAGTGATCATCATAGGAAAGGAGAATTTATATCTGTGGCCTCCGGCGAGAGGGTCACTTATTTCAAGTGGCTGCCGGGGGAACCCCTATATGATGATGATAGCCAGCGCTACGTTAACTTGTTCAACGGTGGGATGAGGGTGGAAAATGGCTCTATTAATAGGAATTTCATTTGTCAGTATTATGAAGATTAAGATTATTAAGAATATTATTGTCACTTAGAATAGAAATAAATTTATAATAATTTAAGAACCTCCTTATGTCTTTATATTAAGTTATTTGTTCTGTAAAATAAATGATCGTTTACTACACTCTCCAAACCATTTTTAATTTATTTTATTTTCTATTTTAAGAAAAAATAAGAATGCTTAAATTATTTCCTGTTTTTCTAACCTTTTTTGGTTAGTATATAATAAACTATGAATTATCTATTATTTATAATTTGTTACTTTTATGGTTTTTCTTAAAATATGGATACTTTTGAAATTTTTCCTCGAAAACGTCTACGCCTTAGAATTTTGGAAATAAAATTATGTATTTAAAATTCTAAAAATTTCAATATTTTATAAATAAATATTAAACAATATCTATTTAACAAATTTAACCAGAATTTTGTTACATGCCGTGGCGACCCCTGGCGATGCTAATTTAAAACTTTCATCAAGCTGTGTTGTTATTTAAAAATAAATAATAAGGTTTACTAAAATTTGAGGGGCCTAATATTTTTTATTTTTAATTAGAAAATACTATTTAAAACTAGTTTTAATTTTGTAATTTAAAAATGGGTATACTTACGTATTTTCTACATTTTTCTTTACATGTGTTGTGTTAAAATCGCTACACGTCATGTTTTCACAGCATATTTTTTGGTTAATTCGAAATATATTGGTGGAGTTGCCACCTAGTAAATACAGCTGTAAATATAGATGGCGACAAAAAAACCGTTAGGATTCTAGTGATTTTAAAAAGAGGAATATCGGTATACAAAATGAACCACCATGTGCATAAAATTAAGAAATATTATTTATATAATTTTAATATACAATTTTTCTTAGATTTTTAAGAAAATTTGAATTATCACAAATAAATTTGAATTTTGAATTCATCTATAGAAATATACTATAATTTTTTAAGCTAAAAATAATTAAAATAGTTAAAAAATAAATTTTAGATGGTCTTACATTTTAATTTTTATCCCCTTGTAGAGTAATATAATTTTACTCAGTAACTTGTTTTATAGTGAAGGAGTCATCTCCGACCCTATAAATCATATATATTCTTGATCAGCATCAACAGCCGAGTCGATTAAGCTATATACTGCCAAAAATTTTTTTTTTGAATTTTTTTCAAAATTTGATAAGGGGTTACATCATCAAAATTGCCAAAAATCGACACGAAATTGAATTTTTAAAAAAATTTAAATTAGTATACAGTTTTGTTAACCTAGAAAAAACTAGCATAGAGAAGCTTTCCAAATTAAATTTAATGCTTTTTTGACTGAGTTACAGAAATTTTAAACTTCGACTTGTCCCAAAAATGATAATCTTAAAATATTCCAATATTTCCGATCTTTTTTAAGGGTTTTATGTTTTTTTTTTCAGTGAAGGAGTCATTTCCGACCCCATAAATCATATATTTTCTTGATCAGAATTAAAAGACGAATCTTTCTAGCCAAAAAAGAAAGAAAAAATTTTTTTTGCAATTTTTACGAAATGTGATAAGGGGTTACATCATTAAAATTTTCAAAAATCAAAAAAATTTTGATTTTTTTAAAAATTAAATTTATTATGCAGATTTGTTAACCTAGAAAAAACTAGCATAGAAAAGGTTTCCGAATTAAAATTAAGGAATTTTTGGCCTAGTTATGAGATTTTTAAACTTTGAATTGCCGAAAAAAACCTTATAAAAACATATATGTTTTATATCAAAAGTTCAGGTTACCCAATGTCACAATCAAATATTTTTAATAAAAAAGTATTTTTTTATAAGCTGAAAATATTCATTTAATCAACAAATCAACAGCTTTTTCATATGTTCTGCATTAATCCATTAAAATACAACCCAAGGCACAGTCACAGTCACATATTTCCATCTGGAAATCATGTCAAGTGTGAATCTATTGAGTCGAATGTCGTCTGGGTCCCGAAAGGGCCTCAAGATATTCGAATGCACAAAATTGAATTGCGATGGCGATCCGGAAACACGCCCTCAAAACACAACGATAATGGACAGTAGTTAGCGTTAATTGAACCGCAAGCGATGTGGAGCGTTGATAATAAATGTAATTGCCAGTCGTAGGAGTGCAGCACAGAATCCATCTACAGGGACAGTTACAGATACAGATACTATTGCTCAGGGAGGTGCCTGCAGATACAGATACAAATACTGAAGCAGATACAGATACATTTGGCAGCTGCTGCAGCTGGTCTGCCTCTGTCAAGTGCACTTTGCACTTTGAGCTGCGGTCAACGATGGTTGCTGGGTTTTTGGGTTTTGGATTTTGAATTGGGACCTCGTTTGGGCCCTAGTTTGAGCCGGGTCCGGCTGACATGGCCACAAAGATTAGCGGCGAGGAAGTGTAGCCTGCCCTGCCTAACAATGCACGCAGAGAAAAACTTTTAGACAGAGGTTTTAGAGAAATATTTGTATCAAAAACATAGTCAAAGTTGAGAAATATTTTACTATAAACTTTCTGGAAACTGTATATAATTTTTATATAATAAAAAGTAAAGTGTCTTGGACATAAAACTAAAAACAAAAGAGTTTGAAAATGATTGCCTTTTGGCATTAAAAAGATTGCAATGGCAGCCGCAGCTTGATGATGGCTCGTTAGGCATATGCAATCTACATTCACATCCACTTCCCCGTCGAGGGAAAGGGCCATGGAACTAGGCTGTGGGTGATGATGGGGGAACCTCTTCTCTCTCTGGAGTGTTAGAAGGTGGTAGTGGGAGTGGGCAACGACCTACTTCCCAGGCTCCAAAACACAACACAGCACAACACACACTCCTCCATAATAGCCAGTTAAAGTCATAAGTGTTTTCTTGCTAAGTGTTCCTCTTTTTTTTTCAATCGATAAAAACGTAAGTGTAAAATCCAACAAAAAAACAATTAAAAGCAAACATTTATACATATATTCGAAGCGATAAGTAGGTGCCCATGGGAGTAATTATGCCGCCTGCTTGGTGACGCTGTTCGGTTTCTGGTGGCTGCTGCGATCGGTAGTTTTCGTAGCGACTTGACGCCCCCATTATAAACGAGTTGGAGGAGAGTGCTCTTTGGGTGCTTTGGGATCGCAATATCGGAGGTCAAATGCACATGGGAAACGCCCCTGCTCACTCTAGGCACTTCTGGTTTTGCCTTATCGAAAGCTGAAGCTTGAGTTCTGGTTAGGATTTTGGTTCTCAAAAGGCTGTAATCTGGTTTAGCTCCCCAAAGTCTACTTGATGGATTGCTGTAGAGATTTCTTTGGTGATTTAAGAATTATTAAGAAATTTGTTTTTGCTTGGAATATACTTAAAATTAAATGCGTAATAAATATATTATATTGAATTGACACGTTCTTCTCGATTTCCTTGTTAATTTCAGCTTGCCAGCTGACGTCAGTGTCCTCTGGTTTCCCCCCCAAAAATAGTTCCCTATCCCCTCTTGTGACGCAATTCAGAAAACACGCGTTCTCGGCCATTGTCTCTCCCTCGCTTTAATGGAGGTCCCATTTTATGTGTGTCCTCTCCGCAGGACTTAATTAGAGCGAGCTGTTTGCACAGATTTCAGCATTTTCGCAGTTATGATCCAATTTGTTTCGTTTAAGGACACACGCCCCAGCTCATTTGTTTGCCCATTTGCCAGGCTGTTTACTTCGATTGTCGCCTAAGCATCGATGGACGGGATTAGTAGGCAATCGAAGGAGGACAGGACATGGCCAGGACATCATCATTGGAGGACACAGACGAGCATAGACACACACACAAAAGGACATGTGTGCCCAGCGGGGGCGGCACAGCTGCCAAGGATTGAGATGGCAAAAAGGGAACGGAAACGGGAGGTGGACTGGACCTACTGGGGACCCAATGGTGATCCAATTAACGTTCAGAGACTGGACAAAAGGCAAACAAAGGCACTGGGAGAAATAAATTGTATTTCGTTTATTAAATACATATTTAGATAATATTACTTCAAGTCTACTCTTCAATTTATGCTCTAAGATCTACATAAAATATTGTAAAATTAAGAAAAAACTATTTTTAATATAACAAATGATTTCATAGATATTTTATTTCAAGAAAAATACCTTTAATAAAATATTCTCCACCTATATTATTTTAATTTTATTTTATTTTCCACCTCTACTATTTTTTCAAGTGTCTTGTTCCCACCCTCTACCCTAAATGTCTGCCAAACTCGTGCCTCTGGACAATGACGGGTAGCTATCTGCTGGACTGAGTGCTCAAGTCCTCAGTAGTGACTGAGGAGGATTGACAGCCGTTAACTAGCCTGGCGCTGGCCAATCTCGAATCCAAGTACGAAATGCAGTTGCAGTGGCTTTGGTCTCTTGGTCACTTTTGGAGCTGCAGTTTCCTGTCGAGTTTCCCGAGTCGAGTGCCGAAATGCCAAGGGGCGCATTAAGGCTAGCACGAGCTACTTGAATTTGGGTTTGCACCAAAGGCTACTCAAGGGGTTTGGTTTCCATTGATATAGCCTGGCCAGCAGACAGTCGATAGCTTATCTCGGCTAGGAGGGAACTGAAGGAGCTCTTCTCCGTTGGTAAGCCCAGTGACAAACATGCAGACGGGAGCTTAACGACAACTTGTCCGGGTATATTTGAAGGGCCAAGATTGCAGTTGGTTCTATCTAAATTCTAAATAAACCCGAGTGCTGCCTTTACTTTGAAATCAAAGTTATGCACAAATAGATTGTGAAAAGTCAAGTGCTGATAGGGGTTAGAAGATAATTTAAACCAGGAACTTGACATGCATTTGAAATTGTTAATTTGGTTTTAAATATGTATTAATTAAGGCTGTTGTATTAGGTTTAAAGATAATCGTAGTTGTATTTGATACTTTGTAGTATTTAAAATTACTCTATAAGTTTTTACTTATGCTTAATATATATTATTTATATTTAATTTTAGCCTAGAACTTTTTAGTGCTTAAAAATGCTTACGCATAAAGAGTCACGTAGTCATTTCTTGGGTTTTTCAAAGGGGTTTTGGGTTTAATATTCTTATTATTATTAAAAAAGCATTATTTATTTTTAAATTAATTCTTTGCTCAGCTTAGTTTTTTTTTAAATATAAATTAAAAATAAAATACAATAAAGTATACAAAATAAAGCCAATTTCTTCCCTTTACCCTCCACTTGCTGCTCTGCCAAGTGTGTTAACACTCAATCTATTCCCTTGAATCCACAATGTTTGTTAACTACTTGATTTCGGATACCGGATTCGGGATTCAGGATCGCTGGCGTGCGCCTCCTCAAAGCAGAGGAGTTGGGATATCCACAAGGAAATCCGAAAAAAGGAGCGGCGTGCGCGCAGTGCAAACAAAACGGAGAAAAGTCGCGCGCGCGGATTCAAGGATCTCAGGGAGGAAATCGAGAGGGAGAAACGCAAGGCAAGGGAAGTACCCATGTTTTACACGTGAATTATGATGATGACAAAAAGGCCCAATAAAAACAGGCAGAAGAACATAGAAGTGAAGGTCTAAAAATTGGCATAAACAGGAGTTTAGTGTTTGTCCTTCTGCAGCCGAAAAGATACACTCGTGTATCTCATAGATTTTTGCCTGTATCTACTGCTGCGCCCGCCCTCCTCATCCTCCACACCACGCGACGCGTTTTATGGTCGCCTTCTTTCGTGGAATTTATTCAATTGATACGAAAATTGCAGCAATATAAATGCA